CTAGTACTTGGACGAGACTAGCGCCGCGGTTCGAGGCCGCTCCGCGCGGCCGCCGGTGCGGGCGCCCGCGTACTTGAAACGTGTGTTGTCACGTGACTGCGCCGAGCCGAGGTCGGGGTCGCTCGCCGGCCGGTGAGTCAGTCGGTATCTGGCACGGGCTCGCTCCTGGTCTCCTTTGTCTCCTTTGCCTTATTGCACCCTGAATATAGGTATTCTGAACCTGTACATACACTGTACAGGTATCCTCATCCCGCCGATATGTTAACAAGTTAGTAATACTCATGCGGTTATTTTCATGATTGTATGCAATTTGCAATCGATGTTGAAATGAATCCTGAGCATATATAAACGGCCGATCAGCTCATTCGCATTGGTTTCATTTGGGGCTGAATCTAAAAGCTCGAAACGAGAAACGATATCGTAGCCAACACAGTTCTTTATCGCTGCAACTTCATCTCACAATATACAGTCCACTAGCCTGAAATCGTACTACTCACTGACACGTAATACACGTAATACTGACCTCAGGTCACCAAAACTTTTTTTTTTCTCTAGGTCAAACGCTACACAACCGAGCTCGTAATTTGTTACGGAGCGAGCGAAGCGAGCGGAGTCTTCCCTTAGATTAACGGAAATTTTTTAGTATGAGCGGCCGGCCGGCCGGCCGGCCGTGCGGACGATTTTGCGAGGCTTATACATATCTCAGCAACCGCTTGACCGATTTATATGCGGTAATTTTTGTAGGGTAGCTCAAGGCTATAGAACTCCAGGTAAGGACACCAGCCGTATGACCTTGAACGCCGCCGGCCGGCCGATGACGTCATTGGAGGCAAGCCGGCTCGGCGGACACACAAGGCGAATGCATAACGGAGGGGCGTTGGAACGTTGCGGGAGCCGGGGAGATATTTTAATGTGGTTGCATACCACCATTGTTACGTTGATTGATCTACAGACTGCATTCTTTGAAACCTCGATGCATCCTAGGCCTGGATGGTGCGTACATTCGTGGAATGATCACCCCGTCCGACGTCCGTGGTCGAAGCTGTCTATGCATTAAAGACACTGAGACGGGTGCAATAACGGCGACCCGATCCCGTCTCTGGCGAATCTAGAGGGGTCGTAAGGACCCAGGCCGAATCTGATCCCGTCTAATTTTAGGGAAACGGGGTGGGTGAATATGACAACCGATGGCTTAAGAGATGATGAGAAGGGATCCCGTCGTCGATTGTTGTTTGACAGACAACACATGTTGTACTGGGCGTATGACCATCAGAGGTAATGCCTGAACGTAGGCAAGCATAATTGGTCTGTCATACTGTTTAGGAATACAAAATGGTAATGGAGGTCATTGAGGATATGATCTCTACATTACGGGAATTCACTAACTACGGCCCATAGGGGCACCGCCGGAGCTGTTGTTTTGCCATCGGTCCCAGGCTACTCCAGGGAACTGCAGTACCCGGCGGCCAAACCGGCCACCTCGTCGACTCGCAGGTCCTGTGGGATTCCGTGATGCTTTAGTGCTTCACCCACAGAAGCACGGGCATAGCAGTAGGATGTGGGGCTAGGTGTCTGTCCACCTCTTCATTGAAAGAACAACGTATGATACAGCGCCTGGTCCCGCCGAAGCTCGGTATCGACCGTGACTTATTCACTGGCGGATCCAGGAAGCGGTCTTGGACACTGCGGGGGCTTACCCCAAAAAGGATTATCGGAATTAATTTAAAAACTCGGATTTCGATTCCTTGCGCTTGCGCTTCCAATTTCGATTCCTTCGATGTGATTAACCAACATTTCCTCAGAAAAGTTGTTAAGTTTTCTTTTATTCTCGAAAAGCGATTTCGGGCGCTGCCCTGGTTGTGGGGGAAGACATTTGCCCCAAATGCCTTCCCCTGGATCCGCCAGTGGGTTGCCACACTCCGAGCTTGACTAAAAACGTCTTCAAACCCCACCAGAAACCGATGGTAAGATGAATTTAAATCCAATAACTCATCTCTGTCTGCCCGCCTAAATATACTACACATGGTACGGCACCCGGCCCTGTCGGAGCTATGAGCCGATCGTGATATTTTCGGCTTTCCCCATCCCAAGCTCGATTAGAAACGTTCTCCTTCCCCACCCGATTGCTTATGTCAATTCAAATTCAATACCTGATCTCTGTCTGCCCGACCATAACCCATTCATTGCACACCGTTCAGCGCCCGGCCCCGCCAGAATATCCTAGCGCGCTGAGCAGTTGCCTCCAGCCGCGTCATCGCGAGGCCCCGCGCGGCCCATAAATGAATACATTGCGCGAATAGCCGTGTCGCCCCCCTGGGGTAGCTTCATTCCTTCTACCAAGTATTGGACTATTCCCGATGCATGTGGGTGACCCCTTATGCACGTGCCACGTGCAAAACGAAGAGGTGTCCGTTTTGCAATTGTTGCAATATCTCGGTAACTACTTGGCCGATTGCGCTGAAAGTTGGCATGTAGGCAGGCACCCACTAGGCACTACATATTCATGTGCCAGAGTTGGGGTGCTGCTGCACGTGCGCACGTGCAGGGGTCGTTTCCAGGTCTCGAGAACGGCTCGACCGATTGCGCTCAAATTTGGTACACAGCTAGGGACCGGTTAGTAGGGTGCCGTGCAAGTCAGTCAGGACCTATTTTGCACGTGCGCACGTGCAGGGTGTCGCTTCCAGATCTAGAGAACGGCTGGGCAGATTGCGCTCAAATTTGGCACATCGCTAGAGACCGTTTAGTAGGGTGCCGTGCACAAGTCAGTTCAAGGTACCCCCTCGCAATTTCGCACGTGCAAGGCCCACCCTCTCGTTCGCTCCGTTAGTCGCCTCAAAAGTCGTTTTACTAGTCTTTATCTCTAAAACTATTTATAGCAGCTATTTGAAGTTCGCGTCTGTGAGGCCGAAGTTTGCCGTGCAGGGGTCTAGAAACATCGACCCTGTCACGTAATCAATGGGGCTAGGTCCCAATTTTTTACTTCAGAAGGTGTCAAATTGATGGGAGGAAAGGTACTGAAAGTTTCGCTTTCCTATCCCTAAGCGTTCGGGAGCTATCGCAAATATTCGTCAGGGGGGAGGAAAAACGCCCCCGGGCCCGTGAGGGTCAAAGGACTCGTCGGGAAAGAATTCACACGAGCTGCTAGCACTTCGTAGGCACTACCTATTTATTATGATCCACTACCAATTTTGCTCCACTAGCTATTTTGACGTTAGCGATGTTATCACCAGCTGTTTTTACCCTCGCCCGCACATGCCATTTTCGCATCCTAGAACGCACATGGGGGGGTTGCCACTCCCCCCGCGCCATTTCATTCCTGTTGGAGATAGAGCTTCGCGGTAAAGACCAAAAAGATTATTTGGGAAGAGACAAATCCAATAATACCCAGTTTTACCTTCTCAGGTCAGTCATTGACCTTCCAGGTCAGGTCAAACTAAAAATTGTTGCTGTTTTGCGTCACCGATGGTTATCAACTGCGCTGCTCAGCATACACCGATGACGATGCCGAATTGTGGTGCCAGCCAGCTAGAGCCTCTTTGTTACACTATCCGACCAGTTTTTTTGCTGCTGAGGTCATTGCAGGTCAAGTTAGGTCAAGGTTAATGATATGTGTTTGTATGTCTGTGTGTGTCTGTGTGTATACTAGTGATGTCAATTACGGAAAATCGGAATACCGATACCAAACCAAATACCAACCAAAACCGTGGAGAAATACCGAAACCAAACCAACTTGAGAACATGAGGAAAATACCAACCTTCTACCGATTTCTTAGCCTCTTAAACATTAGCGAGGGTTCATGATACCAACAAAATACCAAACACATTAGGATTGAAATACTAAATACCGAGTTGGTATCGGTTTGGTATCGGTATACCTAAAAGTTGGTATCCGATTGACATCTCTAGTGTATACTGATGTGTGCACCGATTGTTTATGTGTCCATATTACATGAGATCATGAAATGAGAAACTTTTATCAAATATCCGTCAAAGAAACTTCACGAAAAGTAAATTCAGCTTGCCTAAAGCGCAATATTTTTAGATGACCTAGGTTGACCTTGATCCTGACCTTGACATCCGTACATCGTCGGACAACATGTTCCATGATAGGTGGGAGGCAAGACTGACAAAAAGGGCCGAAATCAAGGTGTCAAAAGCTCACAAGACCCATAGCCAACGCAAGTTAACCCGCCACCGCCTGGGCTATTTCCGTACCCACGACAGCCTGGGGGGGGGGGGGTCGGATCCGACCCCCCTGTTATCTCGAGAACCAATGGTCGCATCGAGCCCCGCGAGGCGGCGTTCGAAAGGTCTCTACGAGACCTTCCCAAAGCACTCTTAAGATTTTAAGATTGAGGTCAATTTTGGGGTCAAGGTCAGGTCAGGTCAGGTCAGGATATTGGATATTTGTCATTTGGGTCATGACATGACCTGAAGAACAAGGTCATATATCCGAAACCATAAATCACAGAAACTTGAAATTTGCAGTAGACGTCAAGAAAGGATGGAGGAGCTGCTATACGAAACATCAAGCTTCTAGCTCTAAAAATGTTGAGTGCAGAGTAGGAAACTACCTGTTGGGGGGGCAACCCCCCATGTGCGGGCGAGGGTTAAAGCACTAGCTATTTGTGCTTTACTAGCTATTTTGCCGCTAGCAATTTTGGCACTAGCTGTTTAAAGGCACTAGCTGTTTTGTATTAGCTCAAAAGTCATTAGCTCGATGTCACTAGCTGTTTTGATGGGCGGACCGGGCGCAGAGGAGCGGACGGCAGGTGCTACCGGCACCACATGGCCGGGCCCTTCAGCGCCCTACCCCACATTGACCCCAAACGGACTTCATGTGACTCCAAATTGATCCCACTACCTTGGCTTTGCCCCATTCCATTTGACGACGGGCCGAGCCGGCCAGTGACCCCGGGTGACCTCAGTGACCCCAGTGACGGCCGGTGTGTGGTGCGGTCGGTCTGCTCTGACCCCAGCTGCCTTTGGTGGGTTGGCAGGCACTGTCTGCTGCCGCAGCTGGTGGAGGAAAAGTACCTTGCCGCCATCGACTCGCAGCACTGAGGACGCGCTGAGCCGCCGCCGCCGATCAGCCCTCCGTCGGCTGGTCGAGCTGTCGGCGCCGACAGATCCATCCACGGCAGTACCGGCGGCCCACCGCCCACCGCAGTCAGCGCCGTGCAGCTGTAGACTGAAATAGCGATGCATGTTTGCGAATGATTTTAGACGTTTTAGGATATCACTTGTAACCGATCAATAACAGATGTAAAATGACAATAATAAGCATTAGGCAACTCAAGTTTATTGCAGAAGACAAAGTTTTCCGTACAAACAGCAACTGATCACTGTGAATGAGATGCAGAATATGAGGTCATATTCTGCATTCAGCTTCAGCTGCAATGACCTAAGGGCCCCCTCCTGGGCGAAATCCTGGGTACGTGCCTGCCGCTGATTAAGTTCGATTCGCCACAAATTTTGTGAGAAGACTAAGATATGTACAGGCAATGTTATGGTCGAATATTTTCGAACATCGACCAGTAAACATTTGAATTATGAGCGTGTAAACACAAAATTGTGATTACCGCGTTTCCCGCGCCGGCCGATAACGCCTCAAGCGGCAATATCTTACTCTTAGCAGGTTCCTAACTACCATATTTATTGTTGGATTACCTAGAAATTCAGCATACATACTCAACGATGTATGTTCTTTCATATAGTGGAAAAATGAAAATCGGCCGGTAACTTTTTGAAGTTATCGGCTTGTAACGCAAAAAAGTCGCTCATATGGCAGATTTGACCACATTTGACCTCATTTCACCTTAAGATACTAACATACGGTCATGAATTCCACACACAACAGAGTTACCCAGGACCCCCACCTACATTCCAAGTTTCGCCTTTTTAGCTTCAGTGGGAGCTGAGATCTTATGGGGGGGGGGGGGGGAGAAATTCGCCCACCCCGTTCACTGGGCGTAGTTCTCGCGACCTTTCCACTGCGCGTGTTAAAAATCGACAAAACCTTGACACCCTGTGACGTCATCTGTCTCCTGAGCCATCCTCATGTGGCAGCATAGAATCGTAAGCCCCTGGTCTGTGCAACCTTGCATTTGGGGCCTTGACTGTATCGAAAACTTTGTCTTCTAATGTAAGCCTGAGTTATGTTCGTCATTTTACTGGGATCGCACGTTTAAGTTACAGATGATCATTGCTGTGATACATCTGCGAAGTCGTCGTTCCTTATAGTCTTTTGCAACTCTTTTAAACCAACTAACCTATTGTCTTAACTGTTCCAACCTCGTGTGTTTGAATAATATACGCATTGACTGCATTGGCACATGATTAGGCACGGTGGCGTACACAGGGGGCCATAGGGGCCATGTCTTTCCTTTCCGCCCAGCTGCCCAGATGGCGCCCCAATTGTCGCGGACTAGGCTGATGCCGTTTTACAGAGGGAACATGAATTGGAAAGTGATGTGCTGGCAGGGATCGAACTCACTACTCAGTATCTCTTTGGGGGTGCCTGGACACCCCAATGTTCTGTTCTCCAGGGTACCCCCAAATAGGACCTGAGCCCCCCCCCCCCCCCCAATTTTGAAGGGCGCCCCTCCGGAAACCAGAATATTCCGAACCCCCAGGATCGATGGCGCCCCTGAAGGGCCGCTGGCACCCAGCTGAACGGAACAGTCGCCCCATTCAACCGGCGCCCCAGTGGCGGTCTCAGCCCGCTGAACCGGCGCCCCAGTGGCGGTCTCAGCCCGCTGAACCCGCGCCCCAGTGGCGGTCTCAGCCCGCTGAACCCGCGCCCCAGTGGCGGTCTCAGCCCGCTGAACCCGCGCCCCAGTGGCGGTCTCAGCCCGCTGAACCCGCACCCCAGTGGCGGTCTCAGCCCGCTGAACCCGCGCCCCAGTGGCGGTCTCAGCCCGCTGAACCCGCGCCCCAGTGGCGGTCTCAGCCCGCTGAACCGGCGCCCCAGTGGCGGTCTCAGCCCGCTGAACCCGCGCCCCAGTGGCGGTCTCAGCCAACTTCGCCATAGTGAGGGGGGGGGGGCATATGTTACCAGCCACCTCTAACTGAAAAACTAGAGGGCTAGAGAGACGCGGTAAAAAACACTCGATAGCTGGGGCATTCCACGATAGATCGTACCACTTTTTTCCAATTTGACACCCTCATCTCTCGGAATTTGACGAGAATTGGTCTCAGGGGTAAGTAGGGGCTCTGAATCCACCTGTAACAATTTCAGGCTTATCAGATAAGTATTTTTTTAGTTATGGTGTTTAACATTTTTTGGATCTTGCTTTGCAGCGCTAAGTTTGGCGGGCTGTAACTCTAAGACGGATTACTCAAATGCCAAATATTATAAATATAACATTGAATTTGCAATGAAACAGAGATTAATATGTATTTTTGAAATTTCGAAAAATACGCTATTTTTTATATATGACATATCGAGTTTTCTTTCCTTTGTATTTTTGGTCTTTGGGACCATTTTTTTTTAATTTCTTTGAAAAAATATTAGGCTCATTGCTAAGAAGTATGCAAAAAATTAGGAAGGTGTTCTTTCTATAAATGTATTTATTTTACGTCACGATAACGGTTTCGAATAGTGATTTCGGGAGGGGAGCTTACAAGTTACAAATGGCGTGACATCACGGGTTACTGAAATTTCAATTGAAGTCTGAGTCATCTGAAAAAGTGAAAAGAGGGTTCATCCAACCCTCTTTCCTATAGGCGCGAGGGTGAAAAATGCTGTATGGTTCTGACATTGTTTTGGACGCCAATGACCATAGCTGTCCGAGATGAAAGTTACAAGACGTTACAGGAGTATGGTGTCCTCCAGAGGTCTCACAACTTGTATATCTGGGAATTTTTTAATGTTACATGAGGTCAGGTCGGTCACGTGACATCACTGTTATAAGCCAATGGGGAAATATACAAACTGTTATTTTGGCGCCGAGAATGATCTAAAACTATCTCATGTACGGCTCTCGCGAGATTAAGCGGTAGGTTTTGCACTTCTACATTGCCGGTTATATCTCAGAAACTAATCGATCTACGATGAAGCCATTTTACACGATCATGACCGGCTTGTTACCCAACAAGTTGATCGCCTCTTCAACACTTAAAAGCTTAAGACGACGAAGATATAGCCTGAAGTACACTAAATTTTCTAGGTGCAAAACCTACCGCTAAAACCCGCGAGACCTGTACATGGTATCGTGATTTCATGCACTCCTTGCAAAGTCTAATGTTTCACTTTTGCATTGTTAACCTTGCGTGACGTCATTTATGACGTCACTAGGGTCGTACGAGTTTGTCGTCAATAACTCCCGATCAAATGGAGCTAGAGAGTCGGGAAAGCCACCAATGGACTCGGGAAGACCTTCCGAACCGAATGATATGCCATATGATACCCTTTGCCCAGCTTCGTGACCTGAGGGGCTCTGACCTGACCTTGACCCGAGGTCAACTACTTAAGTTGACCTCACCCTAACAAAAAGTATACCATTCGATGCACCTGAGCTAGGCAAACACAATGAGGCCAAAATCGCGGCTCTGCGGCCATTTTTTGCGAAGTTATTCGCTAAAAACCGAACCCGTAACATCAGTCACTTGACCTGACCTCAGACGCTACCGATTAACCTGAGACCTTAAAATCGGGTACCAATCGCTGCGACTTGTAACGGCACACACGCTCGTTTTTTTTCCGCGAGGCTCTAGCTCTATTAGAAGCGAAACGGCGTGCTGGGGTCGTATCAACCCCTTCGAAGCTCATTTTGTTTGCGGGAAAATGAGGAACTTGTAGAAAGAACACCTCTCTAATTTTTTGCATGTCGATTTGCAATGACATGAAGTTTACTTTGAAAAAATAAAAATGTGAAAAATTTTGGTCCTAAAAGTCATTAGAGGCAAATGAAAAAAGATTAAGGTTTTTACTCAACAATGAAAATTTTTCTTTGGAATTTTAAAATAGTAATATTAATTTTTGATTCATCGCAAGCTTAGTGTTGTTTACTGTTTGTTGGTTGTTTAACCCGTTTTTGAGTTATAGGCCATCATACTCACCGTTACAAACCGAAGTTAAAAAAGTAATGCAATATAACTCAAAAAGTTTTGATCTGAGAAGTCTGATATTTTTCCAGGCGTCTTTGGGGCCTATGATTACCCCTAGGACTGATTTTCATTAAAATCTGAGAGATGAGGGTGACGGGCCTGGTACGATCTATCGTGGAATGCCCCAGCTCTCAATGCGTACGTTTGAAAGTTTTCAGTAATTTTCATCTTAGAACAATATTGGGGTCACCAGAGGTCATCAAAGGTCAAAATTTGCAAAATGTCATTATATTTTCAGAAAACATGCCGTTATCTCAGGAACTATGATAGCTAGAAAAACTCGTGGAAAAGCGATCGATAGCTTTTGAACTCTTTTTTTGATAAGGTCATCATCAAAATTGACGTCAGGTCAACGGTTAAGCCTCCATAGGTCAAACATTAGCCGTGTTTACATAGGGTTCCCTTAACCCGCGCCGGGCCGGGGGTGTTTGAACACCCCCCCTGCGGTTTTTCGCAAATATCTAAAAAACGGCACACCTGTTCGTGCATCTTTTTTGCACATGTTGTGAAAATTTCAGACCCAGGTCGCCTTAGGTCAGGTCACCAGGTCACACCAAGTGACCTAACCTCAGAAAAATAAGAATGCTCGCCATAGCTATACCGATTGATTGAGTGCCTTGAAACTTTCAGCGATTGGTTAGATGAATCTAACCAATCGCATTATCTATCAAATGTATATCTCGGAATTTTGATAGCGGGGGCATTCCACGATAGATCGTACCACTTTTTTCCAATTTGACACCCTCATCTCTCGGAATTTGACGAGAATTGGTCTCAGGGGTGATCAGGGGCTCTGAATCCACCTATAACAATTTCAGGCTTATCAGATAAGTATTTTTTTAGTTATGGTGTATAACATTTTTTTTGGATCTTGCTTTGCAGTGCTAAGTTTGGCGGGCTGTAACTCTAAGACGGATTATGCAAATGCCAAATGTCATTCAACATTGAACTTGCAATGAAACAGAGATTAATATGTATTTTTGAAATTTCGAAAAATACTCTATTTTTTATATATGACATCGAGTTTTCTTTCATTTGTATTTTTTGGACTTTGGGACCAAATTTTTTTGAATTTTTATTTCTTTAAAAAAATATTTGGCTCATTGTTAAGAAGTATGCAAAACATTAGGAAGGTGTTCTTTCTATAAATGTATTTATTTTACGTCACGATAACGGTTTCGAATAGTGATTTCGGGAGGGGAGCTTACAAATGGCGTGGTAAAGCTGCCTAGTGACATCACGGGTTACTGAAATTTCAATTCAAGTCTGAGTCATCTGAAAAAAGTGAAAAGAGGGTTCATTCAACCCTCTTTCCTATAAGCGCAAGGGTGAAAAAGGCTGTTTGGTTCTGACATTGTTTTGGACGCCAATGACCATAGCTGTCCGAAATGAAAGTTACAGGACGCATACATGGTGTCCTCCAGAGGTCTCACAACTTGTATATCTGGGAATTTTTCAAGGTTACATGAGGTCAGGTCGGTCACGTGACATCACTGTTATAAATCAATGGGGAAATATAAAAACTGTTATTTTGGCGCCGAGAATGATCTAAAACTATCCCACGTACATGGTATCGTGATTTCATGCACTCCTTGCAAAGTCCAATGCTTTACTTTTGCATTGTTAACCTTGCGTGACGTCATTTATGACGTCACTAGGGTCGTACGAGTTTTTCGTCAATAACTCCCGATCAAATGGAGCTAGAGAGTCGGGAAAGCCACCAATGGACTCGGGAAGACCTTTCCAATCGAATGATATGCCATATGATACCCTTTGCCCAGCTTCGTGACCTGAGGGGCTCTGACCTGACCTTGACCCGAGGTCAACTACTTAAGTTGACCGCACCCTAGCAAAAAGTATACCATTCGATGCACCTGAGCTAGGCGAAAACAATGATGCCAAAATCGCGGCTCTGCGGCCATTTTTTACGAAGTAATTTACTAAAAACCGAACCCGTAACTTCAGTCACGTGACCTGACCTCAGACGCTACCGGTTAAGCTGAGACCTTAAAATCGGGTACCAATCGCTGCGACTTGTAACGGCACACACGCTCGTTTTTTCCGCGAGGCTCTAGCTCTATTAGAAGCGAAACGGCGCGCTGGGGTCGTATCAACCCCTCCGAAACCCATTTTGTTTGCGGGAAAATGTGGAACTTATAGAAAGAACACCTTTCTAATTTTTTGCATATCGATTTGCAATGACATGAAGATTATTTT